GCGTCCTCACCATGGAGGGCCGGAGCCGAGCCATGCGAGGAGGAGGAGTACCCGCTCGTCTTCCTCCTCCTCCTCCTCCTCCTCCTTCTCCTCCTTCTCCTCCTACAGCACACCGCAGCTCCTCGGCGAAGGTCCAGAGGGCAGGGCCTCCCTTCTCACTCTTCGCGCAATATTTCCACATTTTCCCTCCTCCTCTTCCCCTTTCCCCTCCCCCACCGCCCTGCCCCTGTCCCCGCCCCGGCCGACAGATGCACCAGTCCCGACCATGTTCCTCCGCCCCCTCCTCCCCTACGGACGCCATCGAGGGGCGAGGGGGGGAACGCGGCGCCGAGGAGGGGGCTCGGCGGCGGAAGAGCGAGGGAGAATGACTCCTGAGGAAGCTGTGAGCGACGGAGGAAAAAGGCGAGAGGCTGCGGGCGTGGTCCCGGGTGGAGGAGGGTGGGGTCGAGGGAGGGAAGGAGGGAGCGGGGGGCACCGCGGCGGTGGGCGCTTGGCTTCCGGGTCTCGTCTGGACGTGGAGACCTTGAAGGAGACGACCGTAGAAGGAAAGTTTATTCCCAGCTCCCACGCCCTTCTTGGTGTTGACTCCTGCGGGGGTGTTGGGCGCCTTCACGTCCGAGGGGGAGGGCGAGAGGTGCGGGGGAGGGGGAGGTGGAGGGGAGGAGGGAGGGAGGAGGAGGCCCGCTCGGTCCACCACGGCCTGACCGAGGCGAAGGGAGGCGCGGAGGGAGTGATGAGGAGGGAGGGGAAGGGGCGCGGGGAGGCCGGTGCCTGGGTCGAGGACTACGGCACGGAGGCGAAGGGACGGGTGTTTGTCGTCCCGGGAGGAGGATGGGGAGGAGGGAGGGAAGGAGGAAGGGAAGGAGGAAGGGAGAGGGTACCATTGTACATCCACGGAGGTGTCCACTGCGATGGGAAGCACCCGGGTCGATCCCCTGCCCTCCCTCCCTCCCTCCCTCCCTCCCCGGTCCTGAGTCGAACCAGAGGGCTCTCTCTCTCGGAAGACTTGCAGCTCCACTTCCCAGGGCAGCGCCAAGAGCGTCCGCAGGTCCCGGGCGGCCGACACAGGAGGAATCCGCCGCCTCTCTCCCTCCCTACCCCCTGCCCGCCTTCCGCCCTCCAAAAAGCCGGGCGGGACCTTGAGGACGATGGGAGGAGGGGAAGGAGGGAGGCAGGAGGCGGCTGGTGGAGGGGGAGGGGGGGGCTCCCGACGACAAATGGCAGAGATTGCGTTCACTAATTGCCGTTGAATTTCAAGCGCGTAACGGTCGAGCAGGCCGTTTAGCCCATTTGATCTCGGCTTCTGCCTTATCTGTGGCGTTTTGCTGTCCCCCTCCTCCTCCTCCTCCTCTTCCTCCTCCTCCCCTTCCTCCTCCTCCTCCTCCTCCTCCATCATCACCCGGATCCAGCCCGATGACTCCAAGAACCTCAGGCCCGCCTCACAGCCTAGAAAGGAGAGGAACAACGGCTCCAGCGCTTGGAAATACCGGCCGCTCCACGTCCCTCGACCAAGACCTCTCTTCCTCCGCGCCCCCTTACTCCCCGCCCCTCCGCCACGCCCTCCGCCGGGACCTCCCAAAGCACCGTCCGCATGCCTCCCCACGAAAGGGGGTGGCGAAAACCGGGCAAAATGGCGCGAGAGCACGGGCAGGTAGAAGCCAGGCTCCCGGTCCACAAGTTCCAGCAGCACGGCCAAGGCAGTGGTGGAGGCGTCCTCCCCCCAGAAGGTATGTACCTGCTGCACTAACACCCGCACGGCCCATATTTCCAACCCGCTGTCCTCCTCCTCCTCCTCCCCCTCCCCCTCCTCCTCCTCCTTCTCCACGTCCTCCCAGCGCCTCGCGCGGACGGGAGGCGCGAGCAGCAAGGTCCGGAGGACATTCACCGCCGTCAGTCGCAAAGAGGCGAAGGAGGCTTCCCCTTCCGAGCCCATCGCCATCCATACCTCCACCCAGTCCCTCCCCACGCCAGAGAGCGCCATGTCTCCCTGCCCGCCCTCATTCTTGGACCCAAAGGCCCAAGGGGGGAGGTGGACAGCTCCTCGCTGACTTGATGTTTGT